AAAAGGTACTGCCACCAAAATGTAACAAATGTTATAACTACATATTGCTACCTGCAAGGTTTCCTTTTCGGGTGCTGTAATGTGCCTGCAACAGCGTTGACTATGCATTTTTGCCTTGTTTTTGTACTGTTTCAGAAACTAAAGTAGTTACAAAAAAACAAACAAACCCAAAACAAAAAAGCATGCATAAGAGTTTTTTTCAGAAATTAATAAAGACACAAAACATCTTGATGAAATCTATGAATAATTTCCTCTTATTTACAGACTTCTGGCAACACAAATTCAAAACACAATCAAGGAAATGTGACAGATGCATGAAGCTAGAGGTGCACAAGAGCTGAAGGTAAAACCATGTCCGTTTATTTCGTGTGCATCAAATGAAACAAAGACTGTGATAAATTCAGTCTTACAAGAGCAAGTCTCCAGTTCTAAGATCTTTTCCTTGTAGATTTATTCTTTTAAAAAAACGGAAAAATGTACCCAGTATTCATTTAACAGGGAGCATATTTGTTTAAGGTTTATTGAAGAATGCAGAAGTTTTCTGTAGAAATCAAAAATGAGAATGAAGGTATGGCCAAAATCTATCAAATTCTGTGAAAATCTGCAGTCTTTAAATAGTAATAAGAATGACCAATATATATTTTTTGTTACAACCCCCTTTCTAGCGGTAAAAAGAAAAAAAAACATTCAGTAAACATTCTCTCCTAAGGAACTTTTTCCCTTATTTCAGTGACTTTGCCATTTTCTTGTTTACAATTTCTAAACATACCAATCAGTGGTTCTCACAACTGAAAAAATAAAAGCACAAAAAAAGTTTACACTCTTTTACAGGTAAAAGATCATCTTGAATTAAACTGTATATCCTTAAGGGCATATTATAGTTTTAGCTTCATTAACTATTACATAATTAGCTTCTTACATACAAATATGGACATATTTGGCTGTGCTTCAAAGCCTGTTTGTGGTAAAGTCCGAGCCGCTGCAGCTCAGAATTTGAAGTCACTGGCGCTGTCTTTACTGCTGCTGGGTTTGGCCTGTTCGTGCAGTGTGGTCTCCTCACAGCTTGCTGTTGCAAGGCATTTTTCTGTAGGCTCATCAACATCTGGGTCCAAGCCTTCAGGGCACTGGAGCTTTAAGAGCTCTTCTCGTAGCTGAGCTGTATGTCGCTGCAAACGAAGCACAGGAAGAGTATGGTAAGCACAAAAATGTGTTCTCTACGGATACACAAAACACAGCATGCATGGAAGTCGCGGAGCAAACAAAACTTAGACAACACTGTAATGCCCCAGGACTGGTTCAGATGAACCATGCAGGGAAAAAAAGCAGTGTTACTACTGTAAATAACTTCTACAAATATACATTTATAAATATGGTCTGTGGTAATGTATATTACCACAGACCAAACATAAAATGTCATTCTAAATAAGAAAGGGAGCAGCAGGGGCTTAATGAAACTTTACTTGATAAGATGCAAAATACACTACCTGCATGTCTGTTTAACATCCAAAACTTCAAAAACGTAAGCACCCAGGTGAATAAAGTCCTTTTCACGTTAACTTACATTCAGTAACAGCTTTTTATGTGCACATGCCACTTCCCATTCATTTAGAACAGAGGCTGCAGAAAGAGACACTGAGGAGAAATTTATCAAAATCTGGAGCAGTTGCCCAGGGCAACCAATCAGCATCTCTCTTCAGTTTGCTCAGTTAAGATTTGAAAATAGAGAAATAGAGAGAAGCCGATTGGAGCAGACAAAATCTGTAGCAGCTGTGCATGGCAGCCAGTTTTGATAAATATATTTGATAATGTTTCCCCCGAGGCCCCCTCAATTGTAGAAAGAAAAAAACTAAACAAAACACAACTCCC